GTTGAAGGCAAGTTGAAGGTTGAAAGCAGGACGACTCCTGAACCTGTCGCCGTTAAAGTCGTGCTTGAACCCGAAGCCCACAACGTCTACATGATTTTTGCACGCTCAGGGTCCAAATGCAGCTTTTTTTGCATTCTTCGGCTGAACCTTGTCCAAGAAAAGAGATGTCGAGCAGCTTTGATAGTGTTTGTTGGTGTGCACCGCGGGCTCGGCTCTTGCAAACACCTCGTCGCAAGCCTTGCTAAGCCTCCGACTGAAAGTTCGGAGACACAGTAAATAAAGCACTTGCACCTTCACCCCGAGCCCGAGGCCCAGAACTTTAAGGAGCCCGGAGCCTTCTCTGTCCGATTCCGACGGCGCAGGTAGTCATGGCTTTGCCTATTCCGGGCCAGGGTCTTGGAGTTCAAAGTCGTCGCCTGTGCTCAGAAAGCCCAGGTTAGACTGACTGACGGTTGCCAGCCGTGACAATTCAAATAACGCGGCGGATGCCGGCGATGATGATGATGATGATGATGATGATGCTGCTGCCGAGAAGATGATGATGCGGATGTTGATGGTGGTGATGATGATTGTGATGGTGGTGAGTGTTTTGGCAGGGTGTGTTCCACCTTAGTAGGATGTTGGATGGTTGGAGCAGGGAATAGGAAGGTTATTGAGATTTCAGGATCATGCTTCCGCATTTTTAGTCCAAGCTTCTCCTCAAGCCCGTCAAGCTGAATGAGTGTGTCGCTTCTTGCTATGCGGCCTGGTACCGAATTAATCTCTTTCAAGGGATCGCTCCTTTGTTTCCGCAGGGGGCTCACGTCGAGAGTCCGTGACCTCGACGGGCGAGAGGAGATCAGGTTTTCTTGCCTGAAGCGAAAGCCCGAAGCGGGCTTTTCCCCTGGAGTTGTCAAGTTTACAGGCTGCCAAGGTCCAGTGCAGAAGCTTCTTGAGTAGGTGAGGTCTGTGAGGACGCAGATAAGAAAAGCTCTCCATAAAGGCACCTTACAGAAACCGATGGCTGCGAGTGGAGCATTTGAGGCCATCGCACTGTGTTAGCCGCTGTTAGCCCTGTCAATGGGACATGACAGCTGAGCTTCAACTGCCAAACCGGGAAGCTTAAGCTTAACATGCCGAGTGAGACCCAAGCCCTTGGCATAAAACCCTAAAGCCGAACAGCCTGAACAATTGCTGTAGCAAGGTTCTGTCTGTCTTGAGTCAGTGCAGCGCAGTCGTCGTAGTCGGAGTCCTCCCAGACGCAACCAGTAGACTAGTTATGGCACAGCAACAGCGCAACAGGACTCAGATGATGATGATGATGATGATGATGACGGTGATGATGACAATCATGATAAACATGATGACCAGTTTCTATGTCTTTTTGCCATCAGAAAGGTTACTATGATCCTCAAGATCAGTAGTTTTAACAAGAGTCGCATACGGCCTTAGGAGGCTTCATTGGCTCATGATTGCCGCCTTGTTTCTGTTTTCCCATACACTTTCTCCAATCATGCATGCTGTAGCTGTTCGTTGGAACTTGTATGTTCATACCAATCGGAATCGCCAAGCACCATCATGCCTTATGCACGCAGTTCTTGTAGTTACACGCCGAATGTCTCGTCTGCTGGCCCAGCGATAAACCCAACACCTGAAACGAGCCGTTCGCTCTAAACCACCTCCAGCCGACTCAGCACCAATAACCTCGCCTGGACGGACAGCAGCGGTTGGGAAAAGGGCGACTGAAAAAGACAAGAGCAAATTCCGTTTTTTGTTTTAAATTCTAACTCCGAAGCACCCCAAGCAGCACAGCTCACAGGAGGGAGGATGCCACGAGCACGGCCTTGGCGATGCTCCAAGATCAGATGAATCAACTGGAGGACTGGGCCATCAGATGAGTAAGAGCGCGAGTATGGGTGGCAGTATGAATTTTCGATGCTTCTTCTTCCTCTTCTTTTTTGTGCTTTGTGGTATGATACACTCACTGATCATGGCTTCAAGTGGGTTTCGTAGGACTTAACAGCTCGCGGCCAGGTTTGAATCTGGCCCGCAAACGCGATTAAGGATAGCGAGCCGAAGATTCTCCATTTTTCCGAGATCATCGTTGCAGATGCCAAGTCCGGTTCGACTCGTCAGAATCGAAGCATAAAGAGACAGCCTACGAGAAGCCGTAAGCCGGAAGTGTTGATTCGTATGTGGTCGAGGAGAAGGAGAAGCAGCTGGTGGAACTAAGGCGAGAGCATGCGAAGGAGGCGCCGGAATCTAGGGAGCTGATCCGACTTCGGGTTGCGGGTTTAGGGCTTCGCGTTTTGGATAGCAACAGTTTCGGGCTTCGGGCTGGCTCCATTGGTCGGCTCCGCGCAAAGCCTCAAGCGCAGGCTTGCCGCGAACGGTCTGCACGCGACTTTGTACAGTGATTATTCTGAGGTGAGGACCGAACGGCGAGACCACATTAAAACCCGGACATGTTATGGGGCACAGTGCACACACACACACCCTTGTTGTTGACTCAAGCTGTTTTAACCCGAAGAATGGCGGGCATCCGGAGTCTTAACCCGGCGGAGGGGGGCAACGATCCTGACCCTAAACCCTGCAAAGCGGGTTTGGTCAAGGGCTCGAGTGTATTATTATTCAATGAGGCCGCTAACAAGATAGACAAGTCTCGTCCTGGCGCGAGTGCGAGCGCGGAAACCCTCGCAAGGTGGCCCAGCTCAAGGATGACCTTGCGCACCAAGAAGAAGTTCGGACCCGGACTCGACAGTGCTTGAAGTTCAGTATCTGAGAGCTTAGGATTCAATTAGGGTTTGGGCTTTTGGCAACCTGCTCGGGCCCGCTTGCAAATGGTGTTTTTCCATGACGTTCGTAAGCTTGTATGCCTTTATCCACGGTTTGGCTGCTACAAAGGCCAAAGTTCGTGAGTTTTCTCCTTCAGCAAATGAGTGTGGGGTGTTGGGAGTAGGGCCCAGATTTGAGTGTAAAGTGGTTTGAGCGGTTCAAGCAAAGGGCGTGGGTGTGATTGACGGGTCGCTTGCCCTGCGGGAGTTGGAAGGAGCACGAGCCTGCCTGTGTCGGCTTGGTGATGCGAGGGTTGGCGAGTTTTTTCCAGATGTTGGGAACCTTTTCATGTTCGGATGCAGGCTTCAAGGCTGGAGATGCTTCTGCAAACCTGCGGGGAATTCTTGCTTCGCCCCGCCCCTGTGTGTTGAGATGTGGCGCCCATGCGGAGTTAGAAGTTACCTTCAAACCCCCAACAACGTTACCTCAGTATCCGGGGATCGCCTGGGTAGGCCTCGGTTCAGGCTGTTGTGCCGGAACCCCGGTTCAAGCTTGTGCTGGTTGCATGTGTTGATGTGCGACTATTGCATCTGGCCCTGCTTTCTCGCTGCCTAAAACTTTGGTGGCTCGAGCACATGTTTTAAACCTGTGATGCAATGCGGGCTGAATCATTGCAGTCCGGCATCCTTTGTTGGCTCACTACATTCACTCACCCAAGCCCCAGACAGTACCTTGCCCGAAATTCCGACTTGTGTAGACTGTCTGCCCGGCCTTTGGCCGGAGCTCTTCCTTGACATGAGCGGGTGGCGTCCTCGGATTTATAAAGCCGCCCCACGAGTTTCGGCTTTGGCGTCAAACTGACCGATGAAACGCCGAGGGCCATGCGCCGTGCCCTCCGCCCGCTGCGGGTAGGCGTGATCTGTGTTCGCCAGGCGCGGGTCTTTGGAGTGCATGCTTCCCTCGATTCTGTGCGCATCAACCGGAAAATGGGCTGCACCGTCACTTCCAGCCCCCAGTGAACTGGAGCTCCAAACGAGACCAGCTGTGCACACCCAAGCACCGTGCCAGGTTCCTCTTCGGCCATTTCGGGGCTTCGCGACAACTCCGTGACCGATCTCAGCATGATTTTGGGTGTTGCGGGTGACCTGGGTTTTTGGAGTCGTGGTGCGGTGGGAGCTATCCGGGTTCGGAGCCTCCGTTCTCGGAGAACTCCGTTCTCGAACGATGCTGTTTGAGTGAAAATGTCCTGGGATGAGTTCATTTCTTGCAGCTGAAAGCCAGTTTGCAGCTGAAAGACGCGCACCAACGTTGTTGTGTAGTATGCTTCTTTTCAAGGTCATATCCACTGTTCCGATTCGGCTAGCTGCCTTTGAAAACGTAATGAAGTCCGCGACAGACATTCGGCTGCTTGAGTGCGGCTGGAGTACAGAACGTGAGTCGGATCTGGTCTGCTTCGCTGGGACCTTCTATTCCACTACGAACTTGGCTGTTGCTGAGTCGCGTTCGTGTTTTTCCTTGGCTCCGAGGCGCTCCGTGGATTTCCCAGGGCTCACGCCCGCAGCTCCGGAGCTGATGATGGAGACCATGACGACGCCCGCTCCCGAAGCCGAGGCAGAGTGAGGATTCGTTGAGAAGTCTAAGTAGGTACTGGGAACGTGGTCTTCTTGCATGTTTTCGATGGTCTGTATGGCTGCTTGGTTCCCGAGAGTTCTCTAGCATGAATATGGATTCTGAAGCTGGCAAACCCTGAATCCGGAGCATTACTGAGCCTTCGTGGTGAACCTGCAAGGCCTGTCATTTTAGCTTCAGCATGGGCAGTCCTGGACGAGGGATATCCGGCAAGCCTATGCAAGCCTCGTGACTCACAGTAAGGGCTAGCGGCGCTAGCGGCTAGTGGCGAGACGGGTCCGAAGCTCAACGTCGCGCTCTGGTTGCTCCCCGCGCGGCTTCTTCGCCCTCAAACTCAGCCATTCGAACTCATGCCTGCCAAGTGCGAGTGTATCAGATGAGCAACAGGTAGCCTGGAAAGTGCTCCTAGGCATAGGACGTAGCTTGCAGGTTGAAGCACTGCGACATGTTCCCAGCTGTGTCAAAACACTACGTTGTATACGGCGACTAATTGACCTTTCCGAATGAAGTCACTCATTTCGCATGGAACTGCATTCAGCAGGAACTCCACTCTGCAGGCAGGATCAAAGACTTGTAAGTTGTAAGAATCTGTGTGGCAGCACGCGTCTGCCAATGTCATGGCTCTGCCCACAGAAGGCGTGACGGCGCAGCACCTGCAAAGCAGTGGGGACCTCATCGCGAAGGAGACGCCTGGAGATAGCATCAGCTGTCTGGCATGGTCTCCGAGCCAAGACGTCGTTGCGGCGGGATGCTGGGACCGGAGCGTCTATCTGTGGGAGGTCCTGCAGGGTGGCGGCGAGGTGGTCGGCCGAGCCGCTTTTTCGAGGGAGGCTCCAGTCCTATCCTGTGCTTTCAGCCGCGACGGAACGCACATCGTAACCGGAGGCTGTGATCACAAGGTGATGGTGCGAGATGTGCAGTCACAGAAGGACATAGAACTGGGCTCACATGCGGCTCCAGTGAGGTATGTCTCGACCTTAGCTGATGAAAATCTCGTCGTCTCGGGCAGCTGGGACAAGACTCTCCGCTTCTGGAGCCCGCAGCAGCCGCAGCCTGTGAACACCGTGCAGCTTCCAGATCGTGTGTTCGCGATGGATGTGAAGCCTCCCCTGATTGTTGTAGCTCTTGCTGATAGACAGATGCTCACCTTCGACTTAAGCCAGGGTGCCTCATCCCTTCGGACACCGAGTACTTCCATGTACAGTGCTTTGAAGATGCAGACGCGGGCGGTCTGCTGCTTTCCCAGCCGGGCCGGCTATGCAGCCGGTGGCATTGAGGGGCGTTGCTCTGTCAAGAACTTGCAGGATAGCTCCAAGACTTTCTCCTTCAAGTGCCACCAATGCCCGACCTCTGCCGGAAGTGTAAACGGTTTGGACTTCCATCCTGTAAACACCACCACACTGGTCACGGCTGGCAGTGATGGATCGTTCATCTTCTGGGAGACGGCGCAGAAGAAGTGCCTCAAGCGCTGTGATGCCAGCAAGATGTCCATCAGCGCCTGCCGCTTCAATGCTTCCGGGAGCCTCTTGGCCTACGCGGTGTCCTACGACTGGAGCAAGGGCTGCGAGGGCTTTCATGACCAGCTGCCCAGACAGCTCGTCATCCACCGATGCAAGTGATTGCGAAGTACCGAAAACGACGTGGCGCGTGTTTCTACAGACACAGTGAGTGATGGTCCTTGTCTTTCAGCCACCATGACCTATGAAAGCCTCAGCAAACATTGCAGCATGACAATGCGGGTCGCGCCTAGCCGGGATCGCTGACTATCCAAGCCACGAAGAAAGCCCGCTTGCATGCTCCTGTGGTTGCTGGTCTTATGCGCCCTCTTGTATCGGTCCAGCCTTACCGGGGAGTATAAGGTGTTGAACTTGTGGGCTCGACTCGACCGGTGCAGGTCTCAGCTTGAAATCTCTATGGCCCTTCCTGCCCAAAAAGGTGTGACGAATAAACCGACATTTGGAAGGTTGCGAATATAAGCCCGTCATGCCAAGGCTCTTCGAGTGGGCGGCGAGCGAATCTTCGGAGTTTGGGTTCCCTCCACACCCCAAAAGCCCATGACCCGCTACAGACCCTGCAAACCTTCCCCCCCCCCCCCCCCCCCGGCACGCAAGAATGAAGATCAGGGCTCAAGGAACGCGAGGTTGCAAAGCCCTGCGCTGGCTGCCCTTCGCGCCATGGCGACCTTCGTGGTGAGCCAGGGGAGTGTACAGGCGCGTCGGCACCTGAGACTCAAAAGCTGAAGCTGGATTGGGGATGAAAAACTGTTTTGGGAAAAGGACCTCTTGAGCTCGGCAGCCTGGAGAAACATCTTCTTTGTGAGTGTGCAATCCGTTGACGCCAGCAACAAATACGAGGATGCAGGAGGCTTCAGAAGAGTCCAGGCTGTGTTGAGGTTGCAAAGCTGCGACTGGTAACGAGGAAGCATACAGTCATGCAAGGCTTCGGAAGGTTTTCCGCTTTGCAAGAAATGCTTCCGAGCTTGGGCAGTCACAGGGTCTTCCGCTTCAGCCCTAGTCCCCTGCTTAGAATCCCCGGCCCCGTGTTCGAATCCTGGTGGCAGGGCCTGACTGAGACCGGGCTGCGGGTTCCCGGAGGGAGCTCCGCTAGAGGTGGAGCTCTTGGAACGAGTTCAGGTTCAGATTGAGGGCACTGGATGTCTTGAAAGAATTTGCAGGTCGGTGTCTTCGATGGTTTGGGTTATGTTAAGAGTGAAACGTTGGACGAGGTTGCCGGGGCTGCTGCACGTCTGGATGCTGCTTGTTGGGGATGTCTGCAGAGTGCCAAGTGGCTCCCTCAAGAACGGTTCCACACTCCGTCGTGGTCTTCCCTGGTTACATGGCCCCCAAGAGTTTCCCAGGGTCTGCATCCAACACAGACAGTGACCGAAGGTAAAGAGAGAGAGGAAGACAGTACCCGATGCAGGCAACCCTCCCAAAGTGGATGTGTTTGTGCGCGTGTGTGTGTGTGTGAGTGTGTGTGTGTGTGTGTGTCTCCGTGTTTGTAACTTTGTGTCCAGTGTGGGGGTAATGACATTCTGCACTTTCGCCGTTCAGTGTTTCAGCCGACGGCCGCGGATGTTGTTGTTTTGTAACTTGTGGCATGACCAAGACATCTTAGCACTGCTAGGTTCTTACCTGGTGCAGAAATGGTTGCTGTGATCGCAGCACAACAAGACAAGAAGCAGTTCAGTCTTGGCACGGACGGTAAACATTGATGTGAGTGCCAGCAAGTAGCAAGACTCGTCTTGATACCATGGGATACTAGGCATTCGGGCGAGAGTGTCTTGTGTTGGCATGGTGAGAGAAATGGGTTTATAACGTGATAGGAGGAATGTGGAGGAATAGAGTCGCAGGTCCATGCCAGCTGATTCCACTCACACGCAGCAGGCGGGAAAATGCATGGGAAGCCTTAGAATTTGGACCAGAGAGGATTCTAGTGTGACCATCGCTGCAGCTGGTTTCATAACCGCAGGCCGCGAACACCATCAGCCGAACGACCTCAAATCAAGTCGAGACCGGCACTCACGAGATATGTTATTCAGAATGAACCCGGCGGGGAGATCAATATCATACGCTCCGCCAGAATGTAGCCCTGATTAACAAGCCCGTTGTCCTTAACCGGTTCAGTTTTAGGATCTGTTTCATGATCCTTGAAGAACGGGGGTTTGTTATTCAGTGGTTCATGGGTCTACATTGGGAAACAAAGAACCACACAGTCCAACAGAGAAGCCGCTCCCAGTGTAAACGTAGTTCCCCCCGGACGAAACAGTTGAGCAAGGCATAGTCTGCACGGTGTTCAATAGCAGCAGTTGAGAGTTCCTTTGCACATTTTGGAGTTGTCCACACTCGTCGAAAAGATAATATAGCCGCAGTCCGAAGTTGGGGAACCAAAGACATCGCATGAACTAGCGGAGCACGTCGCAAGCCTCGCTATAGCAAGCAGAGTCTTGCAACAAAGGGAGTGGGCATCCTGTGGTGCCCAGTCCTGCCCTGAGAAGTGCGCCAAGATCCCGAGATCAGAACAGCAAGCCCGATCAAGACACCAAGTCGATATTGCTACAACGAATTGACGGCCGGGAGGCCTGCTTGCCATTCGCAGTTCCATCGCTTGGTGGGCCTGTCACTTTTTGCCACCGGCTTCAGCCGACACATTCGGCGGAAGGCTCGCAAGGCAGGGGCGGGGGTGGCTGCTAGATGCTGCTGGCACGGGCTGCAAGAGCTTGCAAGAGGATCCCACCCGTAGTAGCTGGCTGTTACGGGGTTCTGTGTCATGCTGCAAGCATGGGTCCCCGAAGCTCGTGTAGCCTTTTGGCAGCTCTCGCAGAAATCGGACATGCCTCCAAAAGCCTATCCTGAAGCAACACCAGCACTCGACCCCAAAGCCCGTGGTTGCTGCACATTCCCGCAAACCTCTACAACTCGTCCAACCCTGACAAGTATGCGCCTCGCCCACGCGAGCCCCTCAGATGGTCCAGGCCGCACGCGTGCCTCGTCGGGAGACGGCGACTTGGCCCTCCGGCGAGGGATGTGAAGTGGACGTGAGCGAGGAGCGCTGGGTATGCAGAACAAACGATAAAGGCTTTAGTTCCCAAGGATCCTGTGTTTCTTTGTGGGTTCCGACATCGGGAGCAAAGGCTCCTGAATAATTCTTGGGCGCGTCGCAGTGCCACCCTAAAGCTTGATTGCTGTTGCTGCCCCGCTGGTGGTGTTGCTGCTGCAATACTGCCACACCAGCAAAATTTGGTTTGAATTCCAGCTATACAGCAATTACCACGGAGAATATATGCAATAACGAGCTTGGCATTGGCAATGGCAATATCAGCGACGGCATGGATGGGCATGAGAACGACAGCGCAAGTGGCAATCAATACGACTGGTAGTAAGACTGCGAAGCATGAGGGTGAAATGTGATGGGATTGGAATGTTGATGCTCAAGAAGTTGAAGCCAATCATCATGATGACGCTGCTGCCGCAGCGGTTGCTGTAGTGTCATACGACCACATGGACAATGCAAGCATACTGTAAAACCTTCGTATTGATTTTCAATGCCAGTGTTTGGAGTGGCTGCCATAGGAGGAGCAACGGCAGGAGTAGGAGGGGTGGAGGTGGAGGAAAGAGCTGTAGATAAGAATTGGGAGATTTGGAAAGTTGAGGGTTTTTGTTGCAAAAAGGATGCAGGGTCTTGACATGCTTTGCTCACTTGCATTTCCTGGAAGTTGGCATGGCGGGTAGCGGGTGATGCTTGGCGGCGATTGCTTCAGGGTGCTCGTAGCCGGCCAAACATCTTCGTTCGCGGAGCTTGCTCTTGACGCCCGACCATTCGCAGCACGGCGTTTAATGGGTGAACATGCTGAACTTGTTACCGGCACTGAACAGGAAGTCTCAGGTTGGTCGCAGACAAGGTCGTCTTGGAGTTGTTTTGACAAGATTACAAGTAACATGGCAGAGTCTTGCGCGGTGGTCGGCCGCCACTCTCTGCGCGAAGGAGCTGCTGGGGAAAGCCGCCAGCCAAGTTCAGCAAAAGTCCGTTGCCTTGATCCTGAATCGCAGCCCGGCAGAGTTGTTTTGTGCATCTCGGCCAGGACGTGACCGTAAGAGCCAGGGGCAGGACCCAACAGCCTGTACTGTAACTGCGTGTAACGTCATGGCATGCAGCTGGCCGGGCAACTGCCAAGCCCAACCGGGCAACGCCAGGCAACGCCAAGGGCGTGACGCGGAAAGTGGAGCACAAGCTGAAGGACGACTATATATGTATATATGTACATATACATATACACACATACATATACCATCATATACCCATACATACAAACTTACATACATACATACATACATACATACATACATACGTACATACATACATACATACATACATACATACATACATACATACATACACAAGTACATTCCTCAATGCAAGCATGAGACTACCCTGTAATGCATGGATGGATGGATGGCTGGATGGATGGACGGATGGATTGTCTGTCTGTCTGCCTGGCCAGTCCTGTCCGGTTCAGTTCGGTCCTGTCCTGCCTGCTGCCTGTCGTATGCAGAGATAGGAAGCTACAGGCACCAACGAACACAGGAGCATGAAGAGTACAGCAGCACGGTTCGGTACACCATGTGTCTTCGCACGATTGCAACGGGAACACGAGGATTTTAGTGCGGAGAAAGCTGAATCCCGCCAGCCTTTGCAGCCTCTGGTGTGGGTTCCAAGTCAAGGGTCCGCAGCCCTGTAAATCGTTGCAGGACATTGTCGGCGCCGGGCGGACTTTTGTTTGCTGCTCGGAGCAGGATGCTGAGGATGCGCTCAAAGAGGCTGGCAGCGCTCGCTTCGGTTCTCGGGCGTTTTGGTCCTTCACAAATCTTCATATAATCTTTTCTTTCGGCTAGGCGCTGGGTTTCACATTGCTGCTCACGTTGTCGATTCAAGGGAGGCGTTTATGTTTTTATTGCATTCCAGGTCTGTATTGCATTGCATACGTTAGAGCTTCGGTGAATGTCTGGCATTTTTGCTGCGCGCGTGGAATTCGAACACTAGGTATGTTATTATGATGTTATCCATCCTTTTGTTGCGACGGCCGCACGGGCCCCATCCGCCAAAGCGTTCGGCAGGTGCAGCGGTGTCAGAGTGAAGCAGCTTGGAGCGAGCGTCCCGTCCAGGGACTGCTGCCTCTTCACTCGCTCACTCGACCCGTCTCTTCACACACAATGCACCTTCCCCCCTGCTTGGTTACGATGGGCGCTTCCGACCGACACCCTCCCCGTAGACCGTTCAGAGGTCTGATATCGCCTCCACCGGGCCATCGGTGGAGCCTGGACGGAAAAGGTTCCATGTTAGCCCGACAGAGACTCACGGCGCACGGCAAATACATGGGCGGAGCAGGCCGGATGGCCTTCTGCCCACACTTGCCCACTGTGCGCATCTGCGCCTGGCACTCCGAGGCACGCTATGAGTTGTCCTGCCTTGTCCCCCCTTGTCAACTGCTGCCGAGATGACATTGAAGCTGAGCTCGTAGCGGGTATAGGCGAGGAGGCTCAACTGCAAGCGGCGGCTCGGTGGAGAGCCTCACTGCTGCAACCACCAGGCAATATACCTGCTGACCCCCTGTCCGGAATCTGCGTGACGATGGCCAATCCTGACCGCCTGGCGCTGGCTCGTCCCCATTCCCCAGCGTGAAACCTTGCTCTTCCAGGATGTCAACGGCAGCAGTGCCACCGCATGCTCACGGGAGTCGGGGTCCGACCTCGCTTACCGCGGTATTTTCCCAAAGGCCATGGGCGCTGGGGGCAATCGATGGCTCTCCAATCTGAACTTTGCATCCTCTCGCAGTCTAGGCGCATGGCGCTACCAGCCATCCAGTTTGCTCAGCGGCTCATGCTAGGCCTGAGATGTGTTCGGAGTGCTTTCCAGGCTCGCCTTTCGGCGTGGCTCCACCTCGCCAACATCGCCCTAGCCGATCCAACCCCTCCCGGCGAGGAGGTTGAGTCTCCACCTGATCCACCTGCAATGATCCACCCGCCCACTCGTGACTTACAGTGATGGTCAGCATCTCCTCAAGGTACTGCCGTCGTGCGGAGATCCGCTGGGGCTCTCCTGCCATGTGAAGTGGCAGTGCGACGACTGCGAGCAGCTGCACCCTGCCAGCGCTTGCGCGAACAAGCCTCAGCAAGCATGCTACTGGACTGCGGCGTGGCCTTCCTTGTCGCCGTAGTGCTCACTGGGGCCCACCGGGGCCAACATGGTCGGATGCGTTCTCTGCACTTGCAGTGCCCTGTCACTGTTCACCTCCCGCGCACTTTGCTTGCGTAGCAGCTTGCTGGACATGTGGCGGTGCTTGCCTCCCTTCCTGGGGCTCGCAGGCCTGCCCATGCCCTTGGTGTCCTACGCAGCATCCGGCGAAGTAAACATCCGCCTCTGTCCGGATTGTTGGTGGGTGTGGGCTTCGAGTTACGCTGCCGCGCCACGTTGTCATCACCCTCCTGCGCTGGGAGCAAACCTACTACAGCACCTACGTTACTCAGCTCTGCACTGCAATCCGTGGCTGGTTCCGGTGCAAATGCGGCATCGTCGCTCCCAACTCGCAAAGTGCGACGGTGGCTCCTGCAGCAGTTGGAGGGGGGCGACCGGGCGACCTTTCCTCCATCGGCTCCCTCCTCCAAAAACTGAGAGCATGGCCCCCCACCATCCCCCACCGTGGCTGACGACTGGCCTCCCATTGCTCTGACGAGGGCCATTCGCGCTCTCCTTGCGGATAGGCGTGGGGACAACGTCGAGCTGGTTCGCCCACAGCCGTAAAAGAGGTATATGCATCTTGCGCTGCTTGCCTCGTCACTCATTGCACGTGTCGTTCTTTTTTTGTCTGTCTGTACAACGTCCTTCGTTACAGTCTGCCTGCTCCCCTCCTAACGCTTCCATTCCCACCCCCACCTCCTAGATCTCACTCGTTTGCAGCCTCGTCATGCTGCCTTCCCACCCCGCTTGGCCTAAACGCTTGCGCTGGGACAAACCACCCCTTTGTCGGGCCCAGTTGCTATGTCTGGGCCAGAAATGGGTTTTCGTTATTGGCGACGCCTTGGGTGTGGCGTAGCTACTGCCGTGTCGTTCCAAGGACATCGGAGCTGCTCGGAGATGCTTGGGGGGAAGGGGGTTTCCTCCTCCTCCACCTCCTCCTCCTTTTGTTGCGACACCAACCTCCCACAGAGAACACACTTGCAATGTTAAGACAGCAGCCGGTGCACACAGTCCTGTTGATGCGCAAACCCGCGTGCACTCTCCAGGCTGAAACCGGAGTGCCAACCTGAACGTCAGGTCCCAGGCCATCGAAATGAAAGCCATAGGTCATGGTCGACAAGGCCTGCAAGGTCGTCGTCTGTGGTGGCGGTGACGGCACAGTTACCAGCCGCTTGTCACGGTTGGCAGTTCGCTCCTCTTTGGGGTGCTTGGATGTCTGGATTGGATTCCTGAGTGTTCGGGCACTGTCCCGACCACAACCCCCTTTGCATCGGAACAGTTCTTTATGTTAGGGCTTTTCATGAGAGCAGGGCTGTCATCTTAAAGCCGCCAGAAGCTTCTCAGGCTTGCTGAACCTCATCGGGAAAGTGTGGCCTTGCTGGATTGTGCTGCAGTTCAGGGTTCGGAGCCGGCTTAGTCTCTGTGGACACAGCTTTGGCGCGCCTAATCGCAGATCCAATGTGCCTGGAAGCAGCTGTATCGTCTTAGCAGAAGCCGCGATGCTGCTGTGTTTTGTTGATGGTGGTGGAAGTCTTGTGTGTGGCTACGTTTACGGCTTTGCCACAGCCACTGCTACTGCCACTGTCCCTGCTGCGACACCGCTGCAGCTACCACAGCCACCGCCACCACCACTTCGACGATGACCTGCTACTGACAGTGTCTTTCTTGTGCCCAAGCACTAGAAATTGAATCTAATGTGATTCTTGAAAACATGTATACGCATGTAACGGATTGCATCATTGTCCTTCCAGTCGGGTGATGGTGTTCAGCACCATGATTTGATATGAGTGCCAGGCTTACGACCCAGATGATGATGATGAAGGCGGTGAGCCATGATATTCGAGATTGTGACGAAAAACAGTTTGGAACTTCTGGAATCATCTGATAAATTGGCACGATACGGAGCACATTAGCATGGCCCCTGCGCAAGGATGACGCGCACAGATGGAGAAGTGTACCAAGCTGAAAGAACTAGGGTGAGGGTGAGGATGGCAGTAATAGCGTCAACAGTTCTATTTGCGCCTCGTGAATGCTTATAACCTTGAAGTTAGTCACCTAAACGTACCTTAGTTTCGCACTGCGGTGTTGATGGGGAGTGACAAGGCTGACCCATCGCTGAAATGACGCGTTTCAGAGAGAACTTGGCCTGTACTGAATGTTTCTTTGCGTTCTCCTCCAAGCGAATCCTCAAGCCCCAGCAACCAGAAAAGCGAAAGGGGCAGGGCCAGAAGCACTAATCCGTGGAAGCCCAGGCGTGAGGCTGTCCCGGATGCGGTGTCCCCGACAATGTGCGTTCTTCGTCTGGGCACGGGCAACGCTTTAGCTTACGTCACAGGCGAGAGCCTTCCAGCAGGGGATCAGGTAAGTTAGGATTTGATGGCCGGGCCTTTTTTTTGTCGTGGAGGTGTCAGCTGTTCAGTTTGCCAAACCTACGGACTCCTTATAGTAGGTCCTTCCGCCCGAAGCCCCGAAGCCTCGAAGGTGCCAGACTTCAGAAAGGCACGCCGTGGCTCGTTTTTGAACATCCGATGTGTTTAGCTGCAGGCGCTCAGAAAAACTTCTTGGGCGACCTCGACCATCTCGTCCAGGCCCGAAGCCCAAACCTGGGACCTAGACCTAGGCTTTCAGACCAGGAAAAGGCCGGAGTGGTTCCACGACTTGGGTAGAGGGTAGAGCTCTTCATGCCGGAACCCAAGCTCCAGGCTCCAATCTGCAAACTCCCAGCCGGCAGGAGCTGTCGGACGAGAAAAAACCGGTCCCTGAAATCCCGACGAGCACGATCACGGTGATTCCAGAGGCAGGACGGGCCCGAAATGCATGGCTTAAACTCCCGCACCTTGGCCCAGTCAGGCTTTGTGTTTCCGGCTTCTCGGACCTAGGATATCCAAGGTGCGGCTACGGATGTTGCTGGTGTTGTTTGTCCATGACGAGTTTTTGCCCACTCGTGAAGCCACAAGTGTACGCTACAACTAGGTGCCCAAATCCCGAAACCCTCGGGCTTGCAGTTTGCCAGCCTGTTGCGAACCTGGTCAACAGCCACAACGTCGAAGGGCTTGCCGGATGACCAGCCGGAATCGATCAACTGCTTCTTTGCTGGCCTTGGCTACGATGCACGCATGCTGCAGGCCGGCTTGAGTTTGTTGTGGCCGTTAGGGATATGACGAAGTCATCAGAAGAACATGTGATGACCATTGCATGTAGCCGAGGAGCCGATCATGCGACGAGGAAAAAGAGACTGTAGCATTGATACTAGTTATACGCAGACGCAGCACCAACCACTTGTAGTCGCCGGTGGTAGTGGTGGTGGTCGTCGTCGTCGTAGTAGTAGTAGTAGTGGTGGTGGTGGTGGTGGTGGTAGCAGCAGCAGTAGTAGTAGAGGGGTAGCTTACAAGAAGAAGAAGAAGCAGTAGCAGCAGGAAGAGGAGTAAGTAGAGCTGTAGTAATGATGATAGTAGTCGTAGTAGTAGGAGGCTGTCCTCGGTCCGAGTTGCTCAGTTCCCGGCTCACAAGCAAAGTTCAACCCGCAGCCTGGTTTCCTTGCTGCAGGACTACATGTGGCTCCGCGACAAAACCAAGGACTGCAGCAATGAAGTATGTGAGTGTTGTGCTGACAGACGCATTGTGGCCCGGGGCTGCCAAGAGGACAGCACGGTACTTCGCAAGCTTGTTCACAACCCCTTCGGCTACGTAGTGGCCTTGCTGATGCGGACCCTGCCGGCCACCATGCGTGGGGAGCATGTTGCTTGGCTGAGTTGGTGGACAAGCTTATGTGTGTGCCAGGAGTGGTGTGGTGCCCAGGTCTTTCACGTCAAGGTCACCAATCTTGCGGACAAGGCCTACTACATGGACTCTCGTCGCGGCGATTGGGCCTTGAAGCATGAGAAGGATGCCGTCATCTACGAAGGAGATGTTGGCATCGTCAGCGTGGGTGGCCTATCTGAACACAGACCCAGCGATGAACAGGTTTAGGCTTGTGCTTACCTTGTGCTGTCGGTAGCAGAGAGTGAGAGTGAGCGACAGAATTGGACCCCGTACACCGCAAGCGAATGGCCTTTACGTCTGCAAAAATAAGAAGAGGGGGTGAAAGTTTGCCCAACGAAAGAAAAGCGAGCTAGAAAGAAGAAGCGAGGAACAAAGGCACCCGCCACACTTCGTGCTTTCAGAACTGGGAAGAAGAGGGGACAGAGAAGCATGTACTTCATTGTGTGGTGATTTTGCTGTGGCGTCTCCTCGTCTTTCACAGGATAAAGAATAATGTCGTCTCTGGGGGTGATACAACTGCATGGTTGTCCGAGGTACCGTTCCTTTTTATGGAGGTGGCTTCCGACTCTTTCCCTTTGCGGGCATGCGCACCTTGATCCCAAGAGATGGTGCCATCAACGTGGCAATTCACCTGTTGATCCAGCATCAACATAATCTGAATCGACCCGGTGACATTCAGAAATTGTCATGATCGCCTCTGGGCGCTGACAGTAACACACGGATAAAGGAAGAACCTAGGCAGCAAACAATTTAGTTTGCTGCTGCATCGCTTGATGCAGTCATGTCAAGCCGACCTTTTCCGGCAACTTTCAGCTGAGACCCATGCCTTGCACGGATGAAGAACGGATACTCCGAAGCTAGCAATGGAATCAATATCGCACGGCTCGACAGCATTCTCTGTCTCTCCCTCTCTCCGTCTCTTGACTTCTTTCTCGCGATGCACGTATGCATGTGAAGGCATATGTATGCATGATAGCGCATGCATGTTCGTGACCAGGAGCTCGGTCTGAATTCCAAGGCCCGGGCTATGCGCACCTGCGCCTTTCCCACATCCACCCAGCAGTGGCGACCTTCAACATCCGCCACCTGTGGCAGGGCACCTACCGTGGCAGCCTCGGGTCTGGATTTCTTGGAAGGGAGCCAAGCTCGACCATTTTCCTTGCCACGATGCCCCAGAGCTCTTGAAGAGTGCTGAAACCTTGGAAGCCTTGAGGTGATTGTGGGTTTTAGGTTCAAAGGGGCAGGGCTGCTGGGAAGGTCGCCAAGTGTTTCCTACTCCAGGTGACCACGCGCACGTGCACGACTTCTTGGTGAAGGATGTGATGCTGGAGGTCGGAGTTCTCTGCTTGTAAGCAAAGGGTTTGGAAATTTGTGTTTTTTGGTGGTGAAGACGGCCCCAACTAGTTAGCGGATAGGAATCCGCTAAACATTCTAAACGAACCCAAATGAGGGCAGACTTTGTTGCATTAATGCTTTAAGGGTTCAGTCTAGGGGTTTCGGAATCTCTGATTTCAAGCTGGGAGCTGAGCCTGGCGGGAAAATGACGAGTTGAGAAGAGCAGTCACAACACCAACAGCAATGACGACAGAGACAAGTGCAGCGGTGTTTAAGGCGACAGCCCGAAGGAACTGCAGCAACCGCATCAACCACTCAGCACCAGAAGGATAGCTCCACCAACAGTAGTGGCAAGCAGAGAAGCTGCCTCCCATGCAAGCGCCAGCATCACATGAGGCAATTTGCTTTGGCGGCAAATGAATCTGTGATAGCATGTGGCACCTTGCAGCCCCCGCAACATGGCCAGCAGAGCTCTTCAAGCTGTCACAGTGGCACACAGACCAGTTGATAACATGGAATCGCCACAATCTCGGATCCGCGGCTCCGAGTTTTTGGTCCTGATTCAGGCTATACCCTGCAGATTTAGAAGTGAAGCCGAGTTGAGACTTGTGCACTTGCAGGTGGACCGGCCGACGCCACTGCACCATAGTGGGGACTTTATGGGCACAGCGAGCCGTGAATGCAGAAGATAAGAATCTGAACTGTTGTCCTGACTTGCATATGCAACATGGAAGCAGCATGCGACCCACAAGAGCCAGAACAGCAATAATACTATCAAACACAAGCACCCCTACCGTCCTAGTCACCGCCACGATCATCATCACCTTCGTGACAAACCTCAAGTACTCCTGTTGCTTATTCATTATTCTGTTTATTTCGCTTGCATGTTCTGCTAGTCTTCCTCAGTTTTTGGCATCAGCATCATCTTCCTCTTCCTGCCCGTTGCCCAGCCATCATGACGACAATCATCATAGGCTTCATGCTCAGCTGCAAGTTTGTCCTTGCCATGAGCACGTGCATAGCAGACTGCTTTGTTTGCCGGCCGACTTTGCACCCTGAGCCCGAACACTGCCCACGCAGCCAAGGAGCAAGGTTCGACTGAAGGCATCCAGCTTCCGCAAGGGGACGTTTGGGTTGCTCGGGAAGCCTCTGTAAATGCGTCTAGATGAGTCAAGGGTTTATGAGCGTTTGGGGAAGCTTCCTCTGCTACTGCAACATGATGCAACGTGCCGCGCGGATTAATAGCAGCCACAATCGGGAGAGTGCAAAAGAGAACGATGAAGGCACAAGCAGCGATGACAAGCCCGTGAGCAACAAAGCAGCACACTCTTATCTAGAATCTAAGCCCTAAGACTAACTTTGGCCAAACGCTTGGCATTTTTCTGATTGAAAGGCATCCGCACCAAACCAGAGAAGCAGTAAAGAAGCAATTTTAGGGGCTCCAGTCTTTCTGAAAATGCGATACTCCCTAGGTTCATGGTTTATATAAGCCCTGTGAGAGGGTATGGACCCCGTGCCTACATCTGTGAGTCTTTGCAATCCCCAGCAGTTGCAGGTTGCAGGTCAATGTTTTGGCGTTTCGGGTTTCTGGCTTTGAGGCCGGGGGGCCGGGCTTCTCAAAGTTCAAAGGTGAACGGAGATGGCGAGACGCGGCTGGTGGACTTCTTCGGCAACTAAGGAAGACACGCCGGGTTTGGAGCGTCATGCTTCTTTTTTGTGCTACACCGCTAGACCCCATAGCTAGAAAGATTATCACTGCTACAACGCAAAAATTATTGTCATACTGTGGCAGCTGTCCGGTGTTGCAATCCCGGCAGAAACACCGGGACCGCTAGTTTGCATAGCTCCAGACTGTTTGTTGCGACATGCTATCCGGACTGGTTATCCAGAGATCCTGATGTAGGGAGAGGGCCTGTGTAGCCCTGAAGAGGATGCACAGTCGGTTCAATTTTCACTCAAGTCCTGTAAAAGCACCCTCGGCTCCACAGCCTTCTCCTCCCATCTCCACAAATGGGTCCATGAAGAGCTTCATGGCCCAGTATCCAGGCGAAGGAGCCGTAGGACGCCCCAGGATGCAAATCGCCCGAGCAACACAAAGCCCAAATCCGAAAGAGGTTTTACTTGAACATGGGTGCTCTGGAACTTCCGATGAATTTAGATGCCTCAGATCCACGCCCCGGCCCCGAGCCCTCAACCAGCTCGTTGAAAAAGGGACGCACATTGATGCCGGTTTGAGCAAAAGACGGACATGAATTTCCAATCGCTGCAGTGTCGAGTTTTGAACCTCCTGCACTTGCACCCTGATAGCCAGATCTGATGATATCGGTGGTGCACCCCAAGGGGCAGTTTCACACCTACGCTTCGGTTTGGAGCACCTCACATTTCTCAGCATGTCAGAAATCGGCACGTGGGGGTTTTGAGGTAATCCGCGCTAGTTCAGAGACTGGGGTCTTTCAGGGTTTCAGGGGTCGTGGTGTTCTGGATGGACCTTGGCGTTGACACCTGCCTGCTGTTAGAGTGTTGAGGCGAATGCACTTGTCCGGGAGTGGATTGCATATCCATTCCTTGCGGCGTCTAGGCCTTGTCTGACTCCCAAATACTGGGCCCTAAGCCTGTTGCCTGGACCTCAAAGATGGGAATCTTCACGTGCCGGTTTCAACTGGGTGCATACACACGCCTACGGCGGGGGCCTTGTGCGTCTGGTATTGTAGCACTTTGTCTTGCAGCCCACTGAGAGGCTGCAGGTCTGATAGACGCCGTAACCATGACGTGCTCTAAGCTTGCGAGCCTCCGTGAGGGCCCTTGCAGTAGCCCGGGCAACCAGGCCAACGAAGCCTTGTCGAAGAGGCACCTGAAGCCACAAAAGCCGTGAGCCTTTCGTCGAAGAAGCTTCCACACTAGGTCAGAAACAGAGCGATAGTCGGTATGATTACGCCGCAGATGGAAGTCGAACAGCCTGAGCTCCAATATCATCAATATCTTAGCTCGAATCCTTAGACCCGAACAGCATTGAACGAAGGCGGGGCAGTTGTGTGCTTTCTCCGTTCCACGTTTCATGAATCATTGAATTCGCTTGCGGCACAGCAGCTGTGGAACTCTCGACGCTCGCCCGAGCAAAACAGGGATTTCGTTGGACGGCATGGGTGAGACAGGTAACGTTGTAATTGGAAACGCTTTGATCCGGACACAAGGGCTCAAGCATTGCTTGCCTAGCAGATGGAGCTTCTTGCTCGATCCTGGACCTAGACGCGAAGCACTCAGAACTTCGAACCCAGCTTTGCTTGGCTCTTCGGCTGGCTGCCTTTTCCTCCCGTGCGCAGCAGTAGGAGCTTCAGACCGACAACTGGAAGGTACTACCACCACATCCTCCTATGTCGCCACCTCCTCCTCAGGCGGCCAAGCGTGTGGCGGGGCCGGAGAAGCCTGCGGTGCCGTCTGCCTCCTGGAGTGCATGATGCGCTACCGAGGGGAGTCGTAAGACTCTATCCGATCGCAATGCCTTGAGCGGCAATGCGCTGTCGATGTGGGTGGCTTCGCCTATGCGCTGTGCGCGAAGTGTGAAGACCTACATGATGGTAGTGGGCCTGCTACGCCGGTGCTTCTGTCGAAGTGTGCCAGCCTTCCATCTACGAGGACGGCACAGTCGTCACACTTTACAACGCCGGCTCCAAAAGACATTCGGGCGTTGGCAGCTACGCTGGCTATGATCGGCGGATTACCGCGCTGCATGGGGGCTTAGAGGACGAAAGCGGGTCACTCTGTGCAGCTTCGGTTTGCAGAGGTGGCATGCGGTTCCTTCTGTGAGACAAAGTGGCCCGGCAAGCGACTTCAACATCGATGCGCCGAGGACTTTCTCGATTCGTCAGAGCATCAGCTCCAGCGTCCTCTTCTCTGTCTCAACGCACGACCTTACCTGCAGCCCCGTCGGGCGATTTGGCGCCGAATGGGAACTTTTGGTGGAAGGGTTTCCAAGGCAGGCGCATGTCTGTGGCAGTGACACTGCTGCCACCTCTGCAGCCAAAACAGCCCATTCTGCTTTTTGGGGCCGGTGGCTTGTGCGCGCAACTGCTATACCTGTGAGGCACGACGAGGTTGCGTAGCTAGCGATTATCTGGCGATGATGAAACTGGAACTATATACTGGTAGGTCCCATGTGGCCTGCTTGACTTTCCTTTCTTGCCTGTACCATAGACCTCGTCTGGCCGTGCCGAGAGCAAAGGCAACAAAGACCTACTTGTGATCTATTTGGCCGGACTGTCGTGCTTTTCGTGTGGTGGCCTCATAGACAGACATTGGGGCACAGTCTGTGCCCCGGCGGGAGAATGCCTTGGAAGTCCGAGTTGCGACTGCGACAGTCCAAGCTTGTGTGAATCGAAACGAACCCTACCTCTCCCCCAAAAAAGTTCCATTCCCAATGCCCCAACTCGCTAAATGCCAAGCCCTTCAAACAACTCGCTTACAAGGCCCAAAACCCCTTCGGCTCCACTCGGGCCAGGGCCAGGGATCCGAGTATCCGGTGCGCCTCGGCACGAAGGCGGTGACGAAGCTTCTGGAGCTCGAGGCAGAACAGCGGCTGTTTTGGGGCTCAGGGAACAGAGTATAGCGTGCTCTCCTCAGGTTTTAAAGGGACCTTTGAGGTCTAGCGGGTATTGCATGTAGCTGACATGAAACGTGTTGTATTATCGGGGTTGTTGCCAACATCGTTGTCAATGCCGCTGTCTCAGTTGTATCTCTTCATGCTGCTGATGCCACTGTTACGCTTACGGCCGTTAGGTACTTTGGTGTGTCCCTTTCATGTGTGCACCTGCGGCTGTTGCCAACCATGCTATGTGATCCCGTCCAGCCGACTTGGAACCACCCTGCCGACATTGACGTGCCCGTACAACATCTTGTTTTTCGTTTTGATTTGGCTTATGAGTCAACCTCGTAAAAGGTTCGGGGCGCCCAATGCGTGATTTCCACATAATGGGCTCAGAATCCATACAGTCAAGCGTAGGTGCTTAGGTTCTTGGGCTCAAGGGTCGTAGCAGGAAGCGAGTCTGCTACTGCTCGGCTTTCGCTAGACTCACCTTATGCTCTGGCGCACTATCCACGGTTCGTGTGTTCGAAAGAGCTCGACTCGATGCTTCATTGAGGCACGAGCCTTGGCTAGCTGACTAGTATAAGCAGGGACTTTCCGACAGCCTCACCTGCCAGGCGAAGAAGTTGCGATCAGTGCCTGCCCCAGCATGTCGTGCTTGTGCTATCCTGCATGCCTACTACAAACCGTGCAATGTTGTGAGTGCCATATGTGGTATTCGTTGTCGCATTTGCAACAGTAGCAGCCTTCAGTAGCAGGAGTATTCTCAGTCAGGTGTGGTAGCCAGTAGCAGATGTTTTGCCAGCAGTGCAGGCGCAGCAGTAGTGATGGTATCTGTGGTAGGACACGCATAGGCTATACTGACAGCCCGAACCTCTCATTCCACATGCATTATGTGCCGTCGTGTCAGTATTCTTGAATATTCTTGAATCGTCGACTGTACATACCAGTAGGTGCATGTATATTTTTGACTGCGCCCGTAGGAGCAGCATTAAGAAGCAAGCTGACAGCATTAAACACAGTGGTTCATCCAGATGCCTGGTAACTGCGCACTAGCACGGCTCTCGTTGGTAGCGAGAGGCAAAAACAGTAGCAGCATGGATACCAGTGTGATATCCGGGAGAGAGCCGTGAGAGTTTGTTTTTGGTTTGTGCCACGAACGCTTCGGGGGTCAGTCTGAGAGTTGGGTCGGGACGGCAACGCGGACTTCGGCTTCAGACATCTGACAGGGTAGAGCAAGTTCCCAGATCACCCAAACCGTGTGTCATACCTAACACTGTTTCAAAAGATCATAGAAGACCACAGGGCACGTTCATGTGCTGCAACTTGCTAGATCTACCCCGGTGCAGTTGGACTCCTAGCTCCACGCAACTGCTTGTTGCTAGATCGCACTCGCAGTGGTTTCTGCAGCTCCATCTTGCTCTAGCCTGAAGGGCTTGATTCATACTGCTGCCCCTTTCGCGAGGGTTTCCAAGTTTCTCCGGCGGGGTTTCTGTAAGATTCGGGCGTACCGTTCCACGGTATTTCAGCGCATCTTGGCTTGAAGTTTGGCGGTCAGCTTGTCCGGTTTTAGGACTCGGTGGGTCAGTCTCACGGCGGCAGAATTGAGAATCCAGCAATGAAGCCTTTGCCCATGTACGAGCAGTGGAGCTGCCAGATGCTGCGTATAATGCTCTTTGAAGCAATTCAACATACTTCTGAGGGCACTCGAAACCCACTTGTTTCTTCAAAGGATTTGGCAGCGTGTGGTGCGGAAGCGACCCGAACGGACCATGCGCACTGCATTCCAATCAGCTGTTGGCTCAACAGCCAGCTCACTCATGCGATCCATATCCGATACTACCCCCTGATCCATTCATCAGACGCTTGGCTTGTACAGAGGGTTTTGTCGCGAAGGACCTGGTCAGCAGTGATTGATTGCCGAAGCTTAGGCTGTGGGATCTATCTGTCGAGTTTCAGTTCCTATGTGTCTGGAACATAGAGTCGTCTGTCCATGCCCACAGCGTAAGTACCGTCGGCCAGGATACAGAACGTCCATATACCTACCTTGCGACTGGGCGTCCGAGCCGCATCTATGAAGACCGGTGCGGGGCCCGCTTGACGGTCTCAATTGGAGTTTGCGGGTTTGCGTTTTGATTGCTGCAATCGTGGCAGCGCGCCAGCCAGATTTTCCGTCGACGCAGCATTCAGGTCCGTAGCACATTATTCAAGACGCAGTGGATGCCGCTCCAATCTCAGAAAGGGACTCGCCTGCAGGCATGCCGGCAGATGGCGAGAAAGACGAAATTCCAAGCTCGCCACAAAGTGCCTTGGTCCTGTTCAAGGGTTGGAGGGTGTTGAGAGACCCAGGGTGCAGTGAATTCAGCGCTCAGGTGCTTGCCGGCGTGCTGTGCTGCGAGTGACCGGCATGACCTGCTCCAATTGCTCATCCGCTGTGGAGAGGACAGGGCCTTCCGGCCTGCGTTTGGGGATCGGGCAGCCGAAAGGTCCTCGATCTACCCGAAGCCGGCAAGCCAAAGCAGACCTCAGCTGTCCTCAGCCACCCCCCAAGGGCCCCCAAGGATGAAAGAGAGCTGAAATAAAGAAGAGTCGTGCTCTCTCGTGCTCCTGTCTCAGCTCAAAGCCTCGGCTGGGCCACCGGCCGATATGGATGTAGCACGGAACCATGCAAGCCATCTGACCGAAGAAACCGAGAGCTCCCTGGTCAGGGCCGTGAGTCAACTAGAATTCGTGGAGCGCTGTCAGGCTCGGCTGCTTTGCTTCGGGGCTCTCGGGGGTTGCTTTGGTTGCTTTCTGAACACCTCCCCGCCATAGAAGTCTAGACCATTCTGGACCTGAAGCCTTCAAGTGACTCCAGCCCGAGGTGAGTACAGACCGCATGGTCTTTTGGGGTTTCTGGTCTCTCGTAACAAAGCAATGTGAGCTAGTCAAATCCAAGCCGCGCACCCGAAGAATCCGAATCGCAGTCACAGTCTCAGGGCCGCACAGGACTGAATTGCTAAGTCGGCAGCCTTGTGCTGTGAACCAAGCCGGCAGGACTTGCCCTGATCTTTTGTCATGAATGTACTTCAGTCCGCCTTGGTTGTCTTCTTTGGCCAAATTTGCTGTCATTTGCTATCCGTGAACCTTGCTCGAGTTCATTCCAGTGTGAGAACCCAGGCCGTCCGAGTCCAAGCCATGTGCACCAGACAAGTGAGGAGCTCTTGACATGCAGCACGGAAGCCCTAGACTCTAGACCTGAAGCTCTCATCCTGCGATGATCCAATGCACCTGCTGCAGAAAGTGTCAAGGCCTGCACTGAACCAGAAGGCATCAAGCTTGAAGCTATTCACATTGGGAGTTTTCCTGAATGATCAGCACCTTGGTAATCACTTTGGTGTACGGTAGCTAGTTGGCTATGAATATAGAAATGCAGCTGTTCTTTCGACAATCTCTTCTAGAGATAGCTGCTGGTCTTAGGTGAACAATCCTGAATGCTTGCTGCCTGCGAAAATGTTACCCCATCGTTTCGGTGTCGCAGGATTGAGCTCCAACACCTTACCAGTCGGTGTAGTATTCGCAAGATGATGAGTTGATGACGCTCTTGGACGCTAAAGCTGCCCCCAGCCCCAAGAGCCGAAGAGGTCGACTTGATCAACTCGCGGGCTTCCATCGATTACAGTGGCAGATCTGGCACTGGGCCGGGCATTCAGGATCTCTGTGCGCCTGGGCAGAGGTTTGAGGCTTGGGGCCTCCGGCGCATAGACCTGGTAAGCCTTTTCTGTGATTGCCAGAGAAGAAGCGTGAAGCAATCCAGGTCAGCTAGTAATTGGCGTGGCATACCCACAAGAACCATGGTGGGGTCAGTGTCGTAGTCGTCCAGAGCACAGCTGTCGCGACCTCTGGCGGCGGGACAGATCCTTAGTTCATGTGGTCAGGTCAGTGCTGCGTATGTGGAAGTCATGCTAAAGACGACTTCACTACCAGAATATGCTTCGCATGCTGAGTCGTGCACCCTGATTCTGCTGTCCTTCAGCCTTCAGTGCCAAATCTGAGGACGAGGTGGAGAACATCGGCTTCGAGGCAATACGATATTCTTGCTTTTGGTATCTCAGTGCTACCACAGTCCCTTCGGCAAGCTCTCGGGGTTCGGGGGAGATGCTTCACGGCGCAGTGCTGCAACCTGGTGACGCAGAGCTTCTGTGACTGCAAGTCTCGATGCTAGTGTCCCCCCTACCTTATCTCACGTCGTCGAGTGAGTTCCGAAAATCATAATCAGGTGCATGGCAGCAGTAGAAGGGCCGCCTGCTAACATCAAGCCGAAGCCTGCCGCCTTATCCGATAAGGCTTATCCCATTATCCCATGCTACAGTTATGAGACAGAAACCGCCAGGTGTCAATCAAGGCGGGGACTTTCCAGAAACTAAGGCACCCTGATATAGAAAGTGGATAGTTGGATGCTCGTTGTAAGGAACCCTGGTTAAGGTGCTAGTTCCCCTATTTCCCCTCCACCCTATTTCCCCTCCATGCTTCTCTCCTCGTCGAGGCGTCAGTGTTGGAAGACTTCCAGATTCTCGACTGCCACTGGGCTGCGGTTCAGTTCCAGGCGTAGGATTTCAAGCTTCAGAGTCGCTCTTCGGGCTTTGTGGGAAGGTGTGGGTCTTCCTGGGTTTTCGCAAGATCCGAAGTGTTGACATGGATCTTGGAGTTCTCTTGAAGGTACTGATTCCATGTGTTAGCTTACATCACACCGGCCATGTCTACCGCTACTGCACCTCCTGAGTGTGCGGAGATTCGTTATCCGCTGCTCCCGCCTTCAATGCTCCCTATGAATTTGTGCACATGCGCACGGGTCTCTGGTCCCGACTCACGCTGTAAACGATGATTGTGTGTATGTGTGTATAGATCTGCTGACAGATGCGCGAGTACGCACATACACATGCCCACTGCATGAATGTGCACATGCTTCAGCGCAGAAACCGCACAAGAACACACGCACCCACGCGGACAGCACATATGTTTGGAAGTACAAAGAATCCATTTTTTGCATAGGACGGAGAACTGACTGAGTACATGACCTATGCAAGGCCAGGAAAGATACAGGGTCAAGCTGGGCAGTAAGGGCAGCAGCCGAGTCCCTTGTGAAAAAAAATGTTGCACATACGCAGGGTTGTATGCAGGGAGTGTAGGAGACCCCCAGCTCAGGTGAGGCATCGCCCGGAGGGCGGATGTCGCTGGACCTGCTGGTCCTCGGGAGCGAAGAAAAAGGCCACAGTGGGCTTACAGGGTTCAGGGCGTGGTGCTGAAAGTCTCAATATCGGGGTTTAGATAAGTATCATCGGGGTGTTAGCTAATTCTGCGATTGTTGCGGAAAACACATGCCACTTTTGTACGTGCACTCGAAACGAAGTCGTGGAACTGCCATCGGAGTGCATCCTGCGACATCTGCGACGTGACTCCCCCCGAAGCCTCGGAAGCTTTCGGAGGCTGCTCTGCCGCCGAGGTGCTGCTAAGGCCGTGGCTGAACCATGGCCCGTATTCCTGCGGTTGTGTGAGCAGTGACAGACCACAGCGTTCGGCCGTGTGCATTGAATTATTTGCCAAGCTTGAAATCACCAGGCTGCCAGGGGTCCTCGAATGCTTGCCAGGCTCGGCTTTGGGTCATTATTCGCGCTGTCATCAGTTTCTTTCTGATGTATCAAAACACAATGAACAATGGTTAACGACTAGAAGCCTAGGATCTAGATAGCCGGTTTGCTTTCGGGAATGTTCAGGACCCGGTGTGCGTATCCTGGGGAAACCTATGGAAACCTAGAGAGACTGCATCTTCATAGAGCTCCAGTGCGCTCCACGACTTCGAATCTCAGTCGAAGCATTCTGAGAAGCTTGAAGGCTCGGAGCAACGTCTCCGGGTTGCCTTTGACCCGACGCAGGTGGGAGTATATTCTTCTGCATGATATCCATGATAAGATTCGGGGAGCAAGTGCTGGGGTGCAGGAACCCTTTCCCGCAGAGGAGAGGTTCACAAGCAGTGGGTTTGCCAAGCTTTTTCTGCTCTCACTCCCGCCAACCTTCACACCACCCTGGTCACCCCACATCCCCAAAAAACATGAAGGCTAACACCCCAGTCTGCTCTAAGCGCTGGAAGGTCGGTGCAAGGGACTTGCTTGGAGAGTTGCGGCTCGGCATGGCCCCTGTCCGAGTAGGCTCTTGCTCTCGGAGTGCTCGCTCTAAGACAGAGCTTAGGGCTTGGGGTCCCCTACAAACAATAAGTGGTGCATGAGTGCTGATCTGCCGGCTGCATCTTTGGTTCGCAAGCGTCGAAGCTAGGCTCTTCGGGGCTTGCTGTAGGAGTGGTGAGCAGTAGTACCAGTAATTAGCAATATTGCTTCTGTTCGTAAACGTTCTGTCTGCCTGTGAAAGTAGCAATGGTCATGGTAATAAGATGGCAAGAACTTCAGCATAATCAAGGTTAATAGTCGTAGTACCGACAGCAGCTAGTCCTCGTCACGACTTTGGAGGCCAAGCGTAGGCGAAATGAATGGCTGTGAAAAGCAAAGATGGAGACGATGCAGGTTTTATATAGGTCGCTCATGGCGCCCTTCCCAAAGCCCAAATCGTCTACCTCGATGATTGAGTTCTATACAACACCTTCAGAAGTAGCACTAAAGGGTGCAAGGTGCCATTTTTGAGCAACGCGAGCCATGCGGCACAGGCGACTTGTGCCTAGAGACAAGCCCATCGTGGTGCTTCTCCTGCTCGGTGCTTTCGGTACCTTGTGCCAATGGAGCACCCTGACTCTGACGCAGGTGCCCTCCTACATGTCACCAGTGGCGACTCTCCGTCGTCCTGGACCGAGGTACGACTTGGCTGGGCGACAGCCTCGGTACTACCAGGACGAGGCTGTAAACCTTTTTTTCGCGTCTGCGAAGACCATTCGTCAAGAGAAGGGCAGACCGATGCGGCTCCAGCTGGCAGGAGGAACTGGCAAGACTGCGATTTACACCATGATTGCACAGCGCACTTTGCGCGACAAGCCATTGGCCCGAGTTGTGATCTTCGTCCCCTGGACGGCGCTGGCAGAACAAACCCATCAGAAGCTTACCGAGTGCGGGCTCAAGACCTGCATAGTGGGAGATGGGTTTGCCAGGGTAGATAGGTCAGCATCTGTAGTTGTTTCTTGGATGTTTGTTTGGAACGATGTGTTTTGCATTGTGGTTTTCGCTTTGCATGCGGGTGAGGAGGATGCGTTTCGAGATCGCTACAGAGTACCCCGATCAGCCAAGGTTTGCGTTTTCAACAGTGCTTGCAAACTGCGCGGGCAAGGGTTCGCTGTGAAGTTGATTGATGAAGCGCATCACACGGAGGGTGAGGGGATGTTCACCAACGTCATGCGCCATCAGGCTGCCACGTCCCACCGAGCACACTTTTTTCTTGTTACGGTTTCTGACTGCTAACTACCGGGAAGTAAGCAGCAGACTTATACAAGTGATAGTTGTGTATGGGCTGATGGTAAAGAACCAGGAGGAGAGACTCTGAAATAGGGTGAAAGAGAGGATGAGCGCGGTCCTGGTGCACGAATACCAAGTCCAGGATATCATCCGGAAATTATGGCAGCAAGTTAGTAATACCGAGTCATACCAATAGACTTAATCCCTGAAAGCCGCAAGCCCGAAATCCTAAATAGTCGTAGCGTCATCTGCTTCCTCCCTGGACGCCCGACCGATGCACGCTCAGATCCGCGCAGATCTTGAGGGTGACTTCTCGGCCACCTTCCGGGCAAGCGAGGTGCTGTGTGGGATGTAAGGTTTGCGGATCTTGACTGGGTATGGGGTTTTGGTGTTTCAGGTTTCGGGTGTTGGGTTTTGGCCGCGGCCTGTCAGATGAGGGAAAGCTTCAGAGCTTAATGGCTTCCGTACTTCGTGCGCGTTTTTCTTTAATCGGAGTCTTGCCCGGGTGTTAGTACGCGACATGGAGGGTACTGAGTGCAGGAGGGAATATCTAGCACCAGGTTAGCGCAAGCAGTGATCGATTCACCCCGAACCCGAGCTGGGAGGGAGAACTGACCCTCCCAGTTTCTGCCTTGACGGCTGTGGAACATCGGCCTCCTTGCATGCTAACTTGCCTAGGCGATGCTCCGTAGCTTTGGCCAGAGCTTGTCAGATAATGAACAGATGAATCATTCAGACATACCTGGACAAGCGGGGTTTCTTTCGATCTCGTACTGATCGGGGTCTGTTTAATAGCCGCTAGAGTATCGGAATAAGAAGAGCATGGGGGTGGTAACGGTGATGATTGCTCCCTTTTTTTAGGTCCTTGTCCCAGACAGAAAAACTTCCTGTTGGTCGTGCAAGTCTTGGCAGTGTTTGCCTCATGTCGAAAGCTCCGGCAACCCTCGGTCGCAACAGCAATACAGGAGTAGCCGTTGAACAAAATAGTCAGGTGGACTATAGCTACGGCTTCGACAAGGCGGTGAAGGATGGATATCTTTGTGACATGCAGAGCTTCATCCTGCCCCTGGTGGCAAGATCCAAGCAAGAGGAGTATGCAAAGCTGGCCAAAATTGTGAAAGAGAGGAAGGCGCACGGGCACAGCATTCTTAAAAAGCAATGTCCATAGGGGAGCTTCGTGTAGTCTGGTAGCGAGGCCCTGATTTCAAAGAGATATTGCAGAAGGCAGAGTGGTCTCCCATGCTCGTCCTTTTCAATCGCATCGAGACTGCGAAAACCTTCTCCGACATCTTGAATGCAAATGATGTCCCATCTGCCGTGGTGAGCCACAGGGACCGTCAGGGTTTTGGCAAGTGGCAATAGAGAGATGAACCAAAGAAGAAGAGAGAATGTGAAACGGCTCCAGGATGGGAGACACCTTCGGCAGTACCACCGCCAAGCTTTCGAGGATGGAGAGCTACAGGTCCTCTGCACGGCGGGGGGCCCAAACTCTTCCTGCAGTGGCCCAGTGCGCGGAGGAACAATGTGGGTGTCACAGGGTCCTACCGAGGTTTGGCGGATTAAAGGGGTGAAGTTCATGTTGGAGGAACTTTGAGTGCAAAACCCAAAGCCATGACTCTGCCTCCCCGCGCTCCCAAAACTTCTGAAAGTTCTTTCGGGGTCCTGTGGCAGCTTCCCAGAGGTCAAAGTTTTCAACGAGGGCATCGACCTTCCTATGCTCCGCTCTGTCATCATGGCCGAACCAAGGTGGGGCACTGGGGCTTAGGCTACATTACCTTCCGTTCTTTGGAAATTGAGATCCGAAGAGAGTCTTTGCTAGAGACTAGTCAAGAGTCGAAGCTACGCTTTTTTTCGAAACCCTCAGTCTCGGGCGAAATACCGCTGCTATGCTCGCCCGTGTAAACGGCGGTCTGTCTTGGAGTAGTGGCCGAAGCAGTTCATACCAGTAAGCCAGCGTAGCCATTCGATCAACAGCCGGCTCAAGGCCGACCAGCGATATTGGCTCCTTGTCCGGTTTCGTAAGGGATTGGGATGCAACGGGGCCATGGATAGTGCGCTGTCGTAGTTCAGGATTCAATGGCTGTCACACTGCAGCCTCAGTGCGGTTTCCTTGAAAAAATTCATAAAACATTTCCTGGGCTCAGCGGGGTCGAATCCTGCTTTTGTTGGTGCTTCTGGCGGTTCTATGCAGCTATTCTGGTTGAGCATGACGTGCTTCGCAAAACTTGGAACTGAAACCCAGGCCCTGGAAGATGAGCTTAGACAAAGAGGCCTCTTAGAACTCTGCGCCAGCCTGGGATCCGAGACGCCGTTGTATCAAGTCGTCCTCTTTCTCCAGGTCGGTGTAGAGGGTGCGCATGGATCCGTCTTTTGCTTTTATGGGTAAGTCCCAGAGCAGCGAGGAACAGAGGCGATTGGCATTGTTTGCAGAAGCTTACGACATGGGTGGGAGTAAGTAGTGCTTGTTCATATGGTTTATTGTAATATGTCACAAAACCTGTTCTAGGTATAAAGATCCTCTGAAAGCATTAAAGACCCTTTGTAAGTCCATTACGCAACCCTTTGGAATTGGTAAGGTCCCCGTATTAGCAAGACAAAGGCGTCGTGCAAGCAGCGATGCGGGCGCTGCGGCCACACAGAAGCAAGCCGGACAACAAGGCGGGCCCGCGAGTGTAGAACCCTGACGGTACCCGGACGGTACGCTTCTGGCACCATTGAAATACCCTTGTACAGTCTTGCTGTGCCCTTGCAGTATGCTTGTAGTAAAGGTTCCGAATGTAGAGTGTTGTGGATTTCGGGCGTTGTGACCGACACAGTGTATTCAGTTATATTCTGAGATGAACAGGCACGGGTGTTTTTGTTTTCAATTGCCCCGACTCAGTGAATTCTTGCCTGTCAAAAAGAGTGTCGATGATAAAACCAATGATGGTCTTGTGCATAACCCTTGCTTTCTCCAGCTTCCCTTGGAGATCAAGAAAGCAAGTTCGAACACGATCACAGCGTGGCCCGCTTTGCACTCGACATCCGGAGTCGCACAGTTTCTTTGAATCATTACCACGTTCCCAACAGTCCCCGTTCCTTCCACCAGATGTCTGAGATCACTGGATTCGACCGATCCTGGCCTCACCCCCTTCCCCATGGATGCATTCATGACCTGTCGCGCTTGAGCCTTCTAGAAAGCTGTATCGAGCTCAATTCACAAAGTGCCCGGGGCGCGACATCGGGGCACGACAAGCGGCATCTCAACAACTTGAAAGCGCTCGGGGTGCAGGAGGTTGGCAACGAGAACCCGCTGCAGTCAGGGTCTGGCAGTCGGTCGAAGCACTCAGGTCATGAATGCCGTAAGGCCCTGCAGAGCCCACAAAAGCTTAAATCTCAGACCTCCGCTTGTTCCGGCCGAAACTCCGGAGCCCTACGTCCCGGTCCCAGATGTTCCTAAACCAGGCGGGCATGCACCCTGAAATGCTGGGGCCAGGCGTGCGTCGTACAGGTCGTCAACCCCGGAGTGGACTCGACAGACCATTACGTGAAAAAGGCGGATATGGGCACAGGCTTTCAGAAAGTCCGGTCTCTTTGGTGATAGCGGGGATGCTAACTACTAGCAATGGTCGTGCAATGAAGTTTACAGTACTGTTGACTCGGCTGTGCCTCAGGGTATGAGATGTGGCATTTCAGCGTTTGCAAAGCTTGTGGCACTGGTTGTGAATAAGGGCAGGAAGGGGGGTT